ATTTTGGCTTGCTTTTTCAGTTTATCTTTTTTCATGATGGTTTCAGTATTTTATATTTGAAGTCCTAGTCAACGTCTAGTTTAGGCCTATTTTAATCCTTCTACTTGGGGTGTCAAGTTGTATAACCCTAATTACATTGATGAAAGAACCCTAATTACATTGATGAAAGACTACAAAACAAAATGAAGAAGCCTGTGAAGAAGGGGAATTAATCCTTTCCATGGACTTCGTAGTTGGTAGTTGAATTTTAGAAGTGACCTTCTTGTCCTGTCAGCTCACAGGCACACTGAGTCTGGGCAGATTACATGCCTGCATCCCCATGTGGTCTCTAGCTGATTAGCCACTTAATACTGTAAAATTACAAGCTAGTAGAATTTTGATGTTTTTAGGTAGTTGTACAAATCATAAACCTAAGTCACAAAGTTGATTATATATGTGTGTGTGTGTGTGTGTGTGTGTGTGTATGTATGTGTGTGTGTATATACATATAGATGATAGATAGATAGATATGACTTAAAAATTCAATCTCACTGTTATTCTGGAGAGAGAGAGAGAGAGAGAGAGAGAGAGAGAGAGAGAGAGAGAGAGAGAGAGAGAATATGCCTGGTGTTGGGCTCTAATGCCTGGTGTTGGTATAGATAATTTCCAGAGATCACCGATCACTGGAATTAGATTCTTGGAGAAACCACTCTTGATGCTCCATTCAGGGCATTGTGACCACCTTGTTTTCTTTTTCGATTCCAACTTTAACTTATAGAAATCCCACAGGATGAGGAACCCATTTTGAGAAACATGTCACAGAAACTTAGGAAATGTAAGAAGCTAAGCAGTTAGTGTCAGATTTTCCCTTAGGGAAAAAAGATTTTTAAAAAGTTAATATATACTACAGTGGTAACTCAAGTTGGTTCTGTAATAGTACATTGTATGAATGATCATTTTTGACCGAGCAACAGTCTTCTATGGGAGAGCTTTATACTCTCTTGGAGTCATTGATTGTATATGGCACTGGCTTCCATTCAGACCTGGAGTTGACACAAATCACCCATGACCTGTTTTTCTGTTCTTGGGTCAGATGTATTCCAAAAGCTTTTGAATTTATAAAGTGTTTTAAGAAATTTACAGGAATGGAAAGTTTGCCAAATGTAATAAATTTAATAGGAGAACCAAATCAAACTTAGATGTAATCTCAAAGTGTTTTTGTGGTTTCATATAGCTAGCCTTTCCAGAGGCTCATTGGTTTCTATTTCTGTGATGTGAGTTTATCTCGTTTCAGCATAGATTTAACGTTCAATGAGCATGATTACCCACCACATGCCAAGTAGTGTGCTAGGTGCAGTCACACAGGCTATGTTCACGTCATCTTTACATATATACCCTGTGAGAAATTATGATTCTTATTTTTTGAATAAAAAGAGTCTCATGTGTCTATTGGCCATCTGTCTATCCTCTTTGGAGCAGTGTCTATTCAGATTCTTTGCCCATTTTTAATTGGATTGTTTGTCTCCTTGTGTTGAGTTGTATGAGTTCTTTGTATATTTTGAAAATTAACCCCTTATCAGATGTATCATTAGCAAATAAGTTCTCCCATACTGTGGGTCCCCTTTTCATTTTATTAATGGTTTCTTTTACTGTGGAGAACCTTTTTAGTTTGATATAGGCCCATTTGTTTGCTTTTTCCTTTGTTTTTATTTTCCTAGGAGATATATTACTGAAAATACTGCTACATGAGATGTCTGAGACTTTACTGGCTGTGTTTTCTTCCAGGATTTTTATGTTTTCATGACTTATTTTAAGTCTTTTATCCATTTTGAATTTATTCTTATGTGTGGTATAAGTTGGTGGTCCAGTTTCTTTCCTTTTTTTTTTTTAATGTACCTGTTCAATTTTCTCAACATCATTCATTGAAGAGACATATTTACTCCATTGTATGCTCTTACCTCCTTTATCAGATATTAATTGACCATATTGGTGTGGGTCAATTTCTGGGCCCTCTGTTCTGTTCCATTGGTTTATATGCCTGTTCTTGTGCCAGTACCAGGCTGTTTCAATTACAATGGCTTTGTAGTATACTTTGATATCTGGTATTGTGAGTCTGTCAACTTTGTTCTTCTTTCTCAAGATTGCTGTAGCTATTTTTCTTGGGGTTCATATAAATTTTTGGAATATTTGTTCTAGATCTGTGAAATATGCCATTGATATTTTAATAGGGATTACATTAAATCTGTACATTTCTTTGGGTAGTTTGGACATTTTAATGATGTTAATTCTTCCAATCTATGAAAATAGTACTTGCTTCCATTTGTTTGTATCTTCTTCTATTTCCCTTTTCAATGTCTCATAGTTTTACAGTAGCTAAGATCTGGAAACAACCCAAGTGCCCATCAGTAGATGAGTGGATGAAAAAACTGTGGTATATTTACACAGTGGAATACTATGCAGCTGTAAGAAATGGTGTTGAGATGGCACGGAGGAACCTGGAGATTATTATGCTTAGCAGAATAAGCCAGTTAGATAAAGACAAGTATCACATGATCTCACTTATCTGTGGAATCTAATGAACAAAATAAACTGATGAAAAAATAGGTCCAGAGGCATGGTTGCTTGGAACAGAATAACAGATCTCAGATGGGAGGGAAAGGGAGGGATGGGAAGAGATTAACCAAAGATCTTATGTGTATATATGCATAACCCATAGACAGAGACAATAGAGTGGGGAAGGCCTGGGGTGGGGTGGGAGTTGGGTGGAGGGAGGCAAAAAGGAGGAAAATGGGGGAAGTCTGTAATACTGACAACAATTTCTGAAAAAGAGTCTCACAAAATCTGTTACTCAGCCATGATTATGTGATTAATCAGTGGTATTATTGGGGTTATAGATCAGGTTATTTTTACCCTTAAATCTATTATACTTTCCAATAAAGTTAATTTATAAGGAGAAAGTCCTAAAAGCACTACCTTATATGCATTTCATTGGTTGTTGGAAAATTCATCAAAGGAAGATCTGGTGCTGACTCATTAAAGGAAGTTGACACAGTGGGTTGGGTAATGCCATGGGCTTTGGAGTCAGGCCAGACTGGGATGAACCCTGGATCCTCAGCTGTGGAGAAAGTCATGACTTTGAGTAAAGTTGTTTGCATTTTAACTTCCAAGCCTCAGTTTCTTCATCTACTAGACAGTGGTAACACAACATCATTCCATAGGGTTGTAATGAAAGTGAATACAATATTGAATGTAGAGCATTCAGCAGAGTTCCCGGCAGATAGTACAGATTTTTTAAATTAAATTTGTTGGGGTAATGTTGGTTGATAACATTGTATAAATTTCAAGTGTACAACATTACAATTCAGTGTCTGCGTGCTCACCACCCAAAGTCTAGTTTCCTTCCATTACCAGACATTGGACCCCTTTTACCACTTTGCCCTCCCCCACTCCACTTCCCTGCTGGTAACTACCATTCTGTAGTCTGTATCTATGAGTTTGTTTTTGTTTGTGTTTGTTAATTTGGTACTTTTAGTTTTATATCCCACATATGAGTGAAATCATATGTTTTTGTCCTTTTCTGTCCTTATGTCAGTTGGCCTAATACCCTCAAGAGATCCATCCATGTTGCAAATGACAATATTTAATACATCCATTGTATGTATGTACTACATATTTATTTTGTCAGTGGACACTTTTTCCATGTTTTGACTATTGTGAATAATGCTGCAATGAACATAGGGAGTCCAAATTCTGGTAGGCATTATTAGTAGCAATCATAATGAGATAGGAATATAATATACACATCGGTTAAAGAAAGATATTAAATAAATATTGTGTTGGGGGACATCCTAAGACTTTCTTATTCATAAAATTGTATTGATCTCTCTGAAGATTTTTAGTGATAAACAACCCTTGTATAGTATTTATAACTTTATGTGATGCTTTTTAAAGAGATTTTAAAATGTGGAGTCATATTAGAATATTTTCAGATTATTTCCATATTTTAATTACTGTTGCTAATGGATTGGGAGTAGTGGCATGACTAAGTTCTATATAGGTGTATCCACCTTTTTAAAAAATGTATATGAACATAATTACATATATATTCTTTGTCATTGAAAATAATTATACAGCCATTATACAAGTTATACAGCCATTTTGACAAGCTCTTAGAACAGTTTTTCCTCTTGAAAATTATTCACTTTCTGCTAGTTATTGTCTTGCACAGTAGATCAAAGATTTGTCTATCAGCCAGGAGAAATTAATTTGGTTTTTATTATATGTAGATAAATTAATTTTGTTAAAATTTATAAAAGAAAAAAATTATGCAACTAATTGGTGACAGAGAGTTTTGGACTTTAAAACATTCCTGGTACAAGGAGTCCAGATTGGGAATGTACAGGATCAGTCTTCAGTTACATAGGTGTGCACATATATGTGTACTATTAAAGGTTGATTATATTTAAAAAAGCTGAAATTTTCCAAAATCAAGATATAACCATAGAATTTTATTCTTTTTATTTCCTGCAGATATTTAAAAGTTCTTCTGTGTATAGACTTGATCAAGATAGATCAAAGTGGTTAAAGTGATAACCTTGGACATTTGTCTTGGGATTTTTGTGATATACCACAAGGTTGAAAGTACAGAGAACCTTGTATAGAAGTATGAATTTTAATATAGACTCTTTGCAGATTTAATATGTCATTAGAATGAAGTAGATAAATCTGAGAATGGTTCATCCTTTTAGGGATACGCTAAATTTCTCTTGCTGGAAACTGACTTTTGAAAATGGTGTGTGTCTTAAATAGGATTAAATGGACGCAAGAAAGACAAATCTCCATCTGGAAAGGAGTGATGTGTATATATGTGTTCTACCTTATTCACACCATCATCACATTGCTAATCATCTTTTTAACGAAGCAGTGAGGAATAGTTTAACCTTTAGGTCTTTAATGTATGATCTACTTTGTAGCAAAAACATCTCAAATTCACATTATAATCCCATCATTTCTTTTCTCAGATGATGAAACATGCTTGGTATAATTATAAACATTATGCCTGGGGATTAAATGAACTGAAACCTGTATCTAAAGAAGGCCATTCAAGCAGTTTGTTTGGTAAGTAGAATATACTTTGTGTCACTTGTCACAATACAAGTGACAGTAACTTCTCTATAATTAGTTGACTTTTGGGTGGTAGAGATGTTTGTGTGACCCTCCAGACCATGTTGCTAGGAAACTTGCACACCTAATGGAGTTCTCTGCAAGGACTGTGCATAGCATGTCCTTCAGAGCATTGGCACATATTACAAGCACCTGTGTACCTTAGCAAATGCTAATACCTGGGACACACTTCCAAAGATTCTCAACTAATGGATACAGGTGCAGCATCGTGATTTCTAGATCCCAGGTTGATACCCAGCAGAGGAGCACTTGGTCGGCTGCATTAACTGCTTCCTATCAGGTAAAAGCTGTGTCTTGATCAATGAGCTGGCCAAGGCAGCTAGCCATGGTGATCTTCACTGTGTCTCAGTGACTCACCTTGGTTCTAAGTTTCTCTGTTTGCACATGGACAAGAATGTGAGGGTGGATTCGGTTAGTTATGTGAACTTCCATTTATCCACCTTGGCATGCTTTATTGTATTTGATCCTCACAGCATCCCTGTTGTGGAGGTGAAGAAGCTAAGTTACAGAAAGGTTAGGTGGATTCCTTGGGTCACAGAGCTACCCAATGTTCTTTCCCCTGCACTCAATTCCTTTTAACCCCCACTATTTTGTTTATAAGTAACAAGAGAAAGGTCAAGGAGTATTACTCTGACACTTTCAAATTTACCATAGAAAATGTTACTTTCTAGTCCTGGCTGGTTGCTCGGTCGGTTGGAGCATCATTCCATACACCAGAAAGGTTGAGGGTTCAATTCCCAGTCAGGATACATACCTGGGTTGGGATTTGATCCTTGGTTGTGGCATGTATGGGAGGCAACTTATCAATGTTTCTCCTGCATATCGATGTTTCTCTCTCTCTCTCAAATTAAAAAAAAAAAAAAAAATTCCTTGGGTGAGGATTAAAAACAAAACAAAAGTTACTTTCTATACTGTAACTGAACGTGTTCAATAGTATGAAGTCATATAACAACCAACAGTAATAGCTGACACTGTGAGCCAGGTGCCATTCATCTCATTTAACCTCATTCCTATACACATTTTATAGATGAGAAAAATGAAGCTCAGAGAAAAGTTTGCCCGGTGTCAGGCAGCTACTAACTGCAAGCTGGGTCTTAAACCCAGGTGTGACTAAGGTCAGAGCACTCTTAGTCACCACACTAAGCTTTTCCACTCATGTGTGACCTTCCATGTGTTTGACTCTACTGCTAGCACTGGTGTTAATAAACACAATACAAGACTTTTCAGAGTCATGTCGTAATGCAGAAGAATTGTGTGTCAGTACAGAATTATCCAAGTACTAGATGGTTTAGTAGATATTCATATGAAGTCCTGGGGGACCAGTAGAACCTCAAGTAGAGAGAAGGGCGTTCATTGTAAGAACAGGTAGAGATCTCTGGGAAGAGTGGAATAAAGGCTGGTTGGTCTGTCACAGGGACGCCTTTCAGAGGTGAAGAGAGCCTAAGCTGGAGTAGTGGCAGTTAAAGTAATTTCTGATGTTTCTAAAGCAGTGTTTGAGAACATGGTCACCGGTACATGGGTGATGAATAATAGGAACTGAAGAGAGAAACTCAGAAACTTCATGCAGATTTACAAGCTTTATTTTTTTTTTAATGTTTACTATAACTTTTAAAATGTAATCTTGTTTTTGCTTTTGTCTCTATGAAAGTTTCTTATACCATTAAGAAGTCAGTTATGTGTAAATTTGCAATAATCAAACAGATTATTTGGTTCTCGAGTAGATTGGTGATTTTTAAATTTATTATTGAACATTATAAACCTACTAAATCTTTTACTGTGAAATGTGGAGATGAACAAGACATGACTTCTCTATTCTAAAGAAGTTTACAGACTAAAAGAGATACATATAAGTAATTATTATAGAAAACAGAAAGTGCAAAAGCAATGTAAAGTTGAGGGAGTTCAGCAGAAATAAATCACAGTCTGGAGTGGCTACTTGGGTGGAAGGGGAGAGGAGGGGAGGATCAGTCAGAGCTTCAAAGAGGGAGTCAAATTCCATTTCAGAGTAATGGTTTCTTAGAGCTATCACTCAACAATTTTAGAGTTAATTCTGTTTAAACAGTTGTACACAGGTGCACTTTGATATAATTGCTTTAAAATTAATGTGTGTTGCTCCTATTTTTTAGGTCTTTTTTCTTTTTTTTTTTTTTTGCTAGAGAATGCAATCACAAATAAAATTTCTGACCGATTTATTTTGTTTTATTTTGTTTTGACCGATTTATTTTCAACAGTTCAGAAGAAACTAAAGATTAGTGTATACAGCTATAGCCTGTAATAATTTTTAGTTTGGCTTTTGTGCAGTTTTTAAATTTTCCTTCTCTGAAAGAGTTTTAGACTGTGTTCAATATTACTGTGTATTAATAAATTGAGCATTACCCTCTCTTTTTCCAAGGTATGGTCAATTTGCATGTAAGTATCTGTCAAAAGTAATTTATTGAATAAAATGTTTTCTGGTATTCATAGGTAGTATCAAAGGAGCAACAATAGTAGATGCTCTGGATACACTTTTTATCATGGAAATGAAAGAAGAATTTGAAGAGGCAAAATCATGGGTTGAAGAAAATCTAGATTTTAATGTGGTAAGTTAAACAGAAGTTGTCAATTCAGTTCTCAAATCTGATTTAATATGGATAAATTTTTTATTGGGTAGATTATTGTGTTGTACCCTAGCAGAAACAAATCATGCAACTTTTAAGTAGTATCATACTGTATTCTTAACTTGCCCTCCCTAGCTACACATATACATGTCTTTGTTTTTTGGCAATTTAAAAGTAAGAAAAAAGAAATGAATATTTTTCCAGACCTACATGTGCCAAGTATTCTTATTCAAGTTATACAACAACCCTATGAGTCAGGTATTGTTGTCACACCTTTACAGATTAGAAATCTGAGCCTCAGAGTTTCAACCAGACCTCACACCTGGCTCCACATCACAGCTGTGAGTCTAGCTCAGCTGTGTAGTTCTAACCTCATAGTTTCCAACTAAGCCAAGGAGCATCATTATGATTTTGTGAAATTCACATTTGTTAAGGGAGTGCAGGGTGCCAGATGGGGAGCTGCAGTTTAACGGGAGACCACAAGAGGAGTTGAAATAAATAAGTTAATTGCTCTCAGGTCTGAAAGAAGTACAAGGCTTGCATCCAGGGACCACACAGGAAGGTTAAGGCAGAGTACAGACAGACAGACAGGACCTGGAACACATGCCTTTACTAGGTTGGGTAGAGTGCTTTGGCATTTCCAGGCTAAGGACAGGTTGGTCAATTCAAACCCAAAAAAGCGGGATTTTGATAAACTCTACTGGGGTCTTTTCTAACGGAAGGCCTGGGAGGCAGGGGAGTCTTATCAGAAGGGCTGGCTGGGGAATCATATCAGGATCTTACGTGGACTCCGCCAGCTGTTATCTGGGGCACGCGCTTGCGTGAGGGGCTAATCTCAGTGTAAGGTGCCCACAGGCCGTGTGGCACCTACGTAGTCCGAGCAGAGGCAGTGATTCCATGGAAGGGCTCGGCTAACCGTGCGACACTCACCCAGCAGCCGCCTCTCCTTTCCCTTCAAGAAGGCTTCACACTTCGTGGACTGTATATCCTCAACTATAAAGTTTGTCAGTATATATTTTAAATCGTTTTTAGAATTTTGTGCATGTATTATTATTCTTTTTTAATTTTTTTAATTTATCCTCACCCAAGGACATTTTTGCATTTATCTTCAGATAGAGCAGGAGAGAGGGAGGAAAAGAAAGAGAGAGAAACATTGATGTGAGAGAGACACATCAACTGGTTGCCATCCACATGACCCCAACTGGGGCCGGGGACGAACTGCAACCAATGTATGTGCCCTTAGCGGGAACCGAACCCGGGACTCTCTGGTCCGCGGACCAACGCTCTAACCGCTGAGCCAAACCAACCAGGGCGTATTATTGTTCTTAATGAATACCTCAAAACCCACTGTACACGAGGGGGAAGGTTCAGAATTAAGGATGGGGGACACTTCTAACTCTCTAATAACTTTGACTTGGAAGGAGCATGGGCTTCCCCGGTAGAGCCTTATTTTATCCAGTTCAAGTATCTGCAGAGGTGCATAGATCTGGGAAGAAAACTACGGATACACCCCAGTGGATGAGTTTTCTGGTTTTAGTTTAAAAATAATCCGAGGACAAAGAATCTAGAACAGATTTTTGGTTATTCCTTACTCATTCATTAATTCATCCATGTATTAATTATTTACTAAATATCTTTTAAGGGTCACGTACTTATCCTCCTGGAGCTTATAGTCCAGGAGGAAAAGTAGTCTAAGTACCTACCTATGGCTGGGTCTTCTCCAGAAGGGAGAAAAGAGAAGACACTACTGCTTCAAGACTACTGAGACACCAGGTGGCTTTCTTCATAGGCTGTCTCCTCTCGTCTCTGATCATTATACAGGGAATTGAAAGTCCCTGTTTTTGTAGATGAAGAGGTTCTTGCTTAATCTGCCCCAGATCATGCAGCAAGAGCTGCCTAACTCAGTGACCCTGTTTTTATTGGAGAGGAAATACATAAGAGTTGAGAAATACATAAGCAGACAGAATTTGAGTCCTCCAAGGTTAGGTATGTAATCTTAGTAGCACAGTGCTCATTGCGTGCATTGTTCCATAGTTATTCAATAAATAGTAATTAAATTAATGAGAAGCTAAGTTGTTTTATCCTGCTTCCCCATAGACTCAGCTGGAAGATGAGCTGACAGGGTACAAGGATGGCTGTATTGATTCGTATGTTTACATGCCTGAAGTGACCTGGAGTTCAAGTGCAGTGATCTAGTTGTTTTTACCTATCCTGCTTCCAGGATAGACTTGTGGTGGACCATTATAGGAAGGTCATTAACATAAGAGTTTGGGAATTTCTAAATTTAGAACTGAGTTTCCTGTTCTTTACTGTCACTTTAAAGTTCTGATTTCTCTTTACATGAGAAATACTGAAAATTATCTTCAGTAGTGAATTTTATGGACTGTAGAAATTTTCTCCAGGTAACAATTTCTCATGTAAACTCTTAGAAAAAGTCAAAGCTACATGGAAATTATTCTTAAAAAGCTTTGTTCTGGCTCTGGCCAGTTTGGCTCAGCGGTTGAGCCTCGGCCTGCGGACCAGGGAGTCCCGGGTTCGGTTCCTGCTAGGGGCACATACCACAAAAACAAACAAACAAAAAAAACTTTGTTCTGCACTGAGGTAAAGTGTTGTCTCTGTATGAGAGGCCAGGTGTTAAGAATGACAAAGAAAAGATGATGAGCTTCCTCCAGATGCTAACTGGCAACACATTGAGATTGTGATCTTTGGCACACAGCTGGATTGTAGTTTTTATTGTAATGAACACCATGTTTTAAATAACAGAGATACTTGTGGCAAAAGTGAATTTATTTTTTAAATTTCCAAACTGTTCCCTTATCTAATCTGAATGCCACCCCACTTTATAGGAAAGTAAGTTGTAGGGTTCCCAATCTGGAGGATGTAAATTGATTTTAAGAAGTGACTTTAGATTTTCTCAAATGTCTGATGAGTATTTGGCTTAGGTCCAGAGCTCTAGGCCATACAGCCTAAAAGAAGTGAGTTTTGCCTCAGTATTGTTCTTGGAATGGGTCTCTCTTAGAACAGCATTATATTTTAGTGGGAGAGGTGGGGGAGAGGGTGTGGGGGCATAACTAAGTTGAATATCCTGTTGAATGGAGTTATTCAGTATTTTCCATCTGAATGCTAATCAGTGCTTGCCTAGAGAGATGATTTGGGTTTTGGCTTTTAAGAGGATACTGAGCAGTTTGCTCTGATAGTTATTAGTAATAGATTGGACTGCTACTTGAGGGCTCCTCTGGACCTGCATGGTAAAATCAACCTATTAGTATGGAAAAGATGGTTATTTGCCTACCTTTGTGACCCAGAGAATTTATACTTTGTTCATCTTAAGAGGTTTATCGTGTTACTTAAGTATGAAACTAAAAGCTGCTAGGACGTATGTTACCCTAAGTTACACTGCTTAATATTGCAACCTAATCTGTTAAAAGGAGTTTTATACTTAGTCTTAATATTCAAAATGTTTATAAAGCACACAGTTTGAAGTACCATTTATAAATGAAGGTGTATACTCAGCCTAGACATAGGCAAGGCTTATAGGCAGTTATCTGTCTTTAATTAGTGGCTTTGAAAAGTCTCTTATTTCTAATGTTTTTCTTGGTAATGTAAAGCATGGTTATAATACATGTTAGTAGTGGAAAATCATTACTAAACATAAATACTGCATTGGATTGTAGTGGGACAGTTATTACCACACGGAGTTAATATTGGATGGTAGTCGAGCATTTGTTATTAAACATAGTTATTGTATTGGTTTGTATTGGGGCAACCTGCTTGTATCTTACGTATGGGAACAGGCTGAGAAACCCAGGCTTGTAATTTATTGAGTAGAAAGCTGACAGGGAATTGGGAAAAAAAGAGAGAGCGATACTTACCTTTTTTAAAGTCTCTAAGAATTAGCATTGAACACTCAAAATAGGATTAGCATATTTTGGGGGGGAGGAGTTCTTTTCCAAGAGTGCTTTTTTCAATTTAATGGAATCTGCTGGATCTATTAAGTGGTGTGGAATCATAGGATAACAACTAAGGAGAATTCTGGTACAAATTTGAGTCTAAGTAATTATCACTCGTCTTGAAGGTGCAAAGAAAACATATGTCCTTTAGGGGAAGTGTTTGCCTCTATAGTTCCTCAATCAAAAGGACACTGGCTGGATTGTTCCCAAACCTAAATTTGTTAGTCTAGTGATTAACCCTGTTATATCATTTACTGAGATCTATTAAAATAGATCAGTTTATAGATAATTTCAGTGAACAAATTGGTTATAAAAAGCACAACCTAATAAATTTCTCTGAGTTGTTTGAAAGCTCTCTTGGCTAGTGGGAGGAAGTTGGTCTTTCCTGCATTTGTTTTGAAATATTCACTTTCCCTCTAGCCCAGACAAGGTTAGATGCTTCACACCCGTGAGCTCATGATCTGTTGATTGGAAGAACACCTTTCTTTCTCAGTAGAGAAATGGAGCAAAATTTTAAGGATTGGGGGAGGGAGATATACAAAATGATTTATTGACTTAAACTCTTTTTTTCCCTTTTAGAAATCTTTATCAGTTTAATATTTTTATATATATGTATAGTAAATCAGAGGACAAAAATAGGGAAAGGGATGAACAGTTATAATAGAAATAAATGATCAGTCTAAGATAACTTGAGAAATTGGTACCGAGACCTAATTTTACTGTGCTTTGTAAGACTTAACTCTTGATATTAGGTGTAAACTTAGTTCCGCCATATATTGTATTAAATTTGTATGCAAATCTGGTTAAGTGTGTTCTTTAATTCATAGGGTGTTGGTCGAGGAAAGTCAAAATGAAAGAGCAGTGTCTCCAATTCATATTTTTTTGTGAATATGCCTCTAGCCAAAAATGCCCAACTTCTACTTGTTCTCATCAATTGTGATATTAACTAATAGGTGCATGCAATTTAAACAGAAGTCTGGATCTACGTCTCAACTGGAACTCACATACAGTGTGTACCAGAAGCCATAGATAACATAGGGCATATGCCTGGAGAGCAAACATGGATGAAGGAGATGGCAAAGTTCGCGGTCATTGTTAGGATAAGTCACAAGAGATTATAGTGTTACAAACTGTTAGGGTTCCTCCTTTACATACTGGCCTCCTCTGCCTTGGGCCCTCTTCTATCATCAGGGTAAGTCACTGGAAAAGTTTTAGAACATCCTAAAAGATGCTGCATGAGAATATTAAGAGGAGGAATATTTTATTTAAATTTAGTAAGATTATTTTAATAGACATTGGAATCAGAAGTTTATAAAAATGGCCTAAAACTCTCAGATTTTAGAAATTTACTTTGGAAAATCCAGATGTCATATAAATTATATCAAGCCCAAAAGCAAGTTTGGTCAGGAGTCTATATTTTAAAAGAGGGGTTTTAACCATTGAGAAATAGTGCCTCCTCTGAGGGTCAGAGATGTATCAGTTTGCATACTAGAATTTAGACTATTATGATTGCAGAGTTTCTGATTTTCCAGTAACCCCTGTGGAAGGTCATTGAAGCTGAGCTTCTGTACAGTGGTAATAGCAGCCTCTCTCTTCTGGGTGCTTTCCCTGTGCCAGGCATTGTGCACAGTGCTTTACTTTCACAGGCTCATGGTGCCTTGTGAGGAATGCATTGTTCCTTTTACAAATGAGACAACCAAGACAGGAAGAGTAAGTGACTTGCCTAGGATCCCACATTCAGCTAGCTCCCAAATCAACCTTCAATCCCAGATTTTTCTGACTCCAGGGTAGTGTTTCTATGTTCTGCTGCCCACGATATGGTCAGTCAGTGTGTTACAGTGGGAGAATTGTTATCTTCTTAGTCCTCGTCACCTAAGGATCTATAAAGAGTAACCTAAAGTGTCTAAATTTCAATCTTCTGACCTAAAATGTAATATAGCCCAGAAAGTTGAAAGAGCTCTCAAATTAAGTTTTCTAAATAATTTAGATTTCACTTTGAAAAAAAAGAAAGGAAAAAAATTTATATATTGGGAATTCAGATGTAATTCTGGTTTTCAAAAGGAGGTAGATATAATAACCGTTGAGTGATACTATAGTGATGTGACATTCCCAAGCCAGATTTTGAAAGACAAGGACAGAGCAATCACTGCGGAGCTGCGTGGATTCACTCAGCCATGTTTGCTTCTTGCTAGATCTGTGGAATTCAAAAGACAAAACAACTGACCTTGAACATGGCACTTTGCACGGTCATCTCTCAATATCTTACAGATAAAGCAGGATAAATAGAATTTATGTTCTAGAATACATGGCTGGATCAATAACTGGTTGAACAACTGTACCCAGTAAGTGATTGATATATATGTAACTCAAGATATGTTCCTGGTGGTGTTTGAAATGCCTCATTCCTCTACCTTGCAATAATTCTCAAATGTCTATATAAAAGTCCTGATTATTGAAAAATTTTATAGGAGGAAGAAAGAATACATGTCTAATGAACCCACAGCCAGAGTAAGAATATAAAATCCTCTTAACAGGCTTCCATAAGCAGAAATGTGAAGCATTGTTCTCAAGTTTAAAAACTGAAGAACACAATTACAAAGTAAGAGTGATACAATTTAAGGGCTTAGATTCATTATATTTTATTATTAGACATTATTACCCTTAGACATAAGAAATACAGCTGTGTGATCCAAAACAAATTAATGGATTCCCTTTTCTTTTCTTATCAGTAATTTTTAGAAATATTTACATAGACTCATTCAGAGTTATATACCTCACAGATAAATTGCACCTATATAGGGTGCTTTTAATCAAATTATATTAGGTGCATGTTGCAAATTATGAAATATAATTAAATAACTCACCAGACAGTGTCTCATGATACTTTTGCCTAACTGAGACCCACTAAGTCTTCCTCCTAAGTAGTTTTCATAATATTTTTACAGAAAATTTAAAAATAATTTTTCTTTTTTACTTAAACAGTTACTTAGCTTTAATTGTATGATCCTTATATATTTTTAGAGACATCATGTTAGAATTAAATGAAACTGTATCTCCTTTTTTCCCCTTGGAACTGTTTTCTTCCACTATAATGTAATCTCCATGAGTTTGCGGACCGTGTCAGCCTTCATTGCCATATCCCTAGAACCTAGGACAGTGCCTGCACATAAGAGTTGGTTCGTAAATGTTTATTAAAGGAAATAATATCTCAGGTCATTTTGACTAAGTTTATCTGCTGGATATTTACTCCATATATTATAATTTGCTATTCTCCCCATGGTTATCAGTAAATGGCTTGATGTTAGGCAGCAGTGAACAATTACTACTGAGTGGGCCAAAAGAACATGAAAAGAAGCTAAAAAGCTTAAAGTGTACTGTACATCTATTGTAGGTTGGTTGAACTAAATTATCTAGTAACAGAATGCATGACAAATGCATTTATTAGTCAGATATCATACAATAATAAAAGTATTGGCAATAGTTACTAATTATTGCCACAATGATAGGACCATTAATAAAGAGACTTGGTGCATTATCATGTCAGGTGATATTGGAGTTAAGGTAGCAGAGCCCTGGACTAAGAATGGAGTGCTCAAGTTCAAATCCTGGTTCAACTACTTATTAGTTGTTTGACCTTAAAAAGTCACAGTAACCACTATAAATCTGAGTCTCTCCATTTGTAAAATGGACATAAGGATAGCAATTATTTCATAGGGTTGGTGTGCGGATTAAAAGACATGTAAAGAAATTAGCACATGGTCTGACATGTTGTAAATAATAATAAAAGCATGCTATTATTGATATAAATAAGAGCTGTTTCAGCAATGTACATCGTATATGATGATTATCATCTCCTTTATGCAAAGGTGAAATTCCTTCTCAGAGAGGTGTGACTGTTCCAGTGTGCAGGCAGAAAGTTGGAAACCAGCACTAGAACGAAGTCCCCCAACTTAAAATCTGATTTGCATTTTAGCTGTGCTACATTAACATGAAGTAAGAAGGATGCTAGAATAATGTTGAACTATGAACCAAAATATGAGTCTGAATGGCCTTTCAGGAAGAAAAAGCAGACGAATCAAAGAAGAACATAAAATAGAAAAACAGAAAGCTCCAGCCCTAGCGCATCTACACGAATAGAGAACACTGAGCATTGTGTCTGCTGTTGAATAGAGGGAGGAAACAACTTACACCATAAGTATTTTTATAATTGTGATTTTAAGGGTCAAAATTATTTTATCTGTTTACATACTTTCACATATTTTTTTTTCCTCTTGTATATAAATCTCTCTGGGCAAGCATATATGATTTGAACAAAATTAAAAAATTTATCACACTTTCTCACAATGATATTTTTCTCAATTATGTACTGTCATTTATGTCTGAACCTCCTTTACTTTGTTTCTACAGAATGCTGAAGTTTCTGTTTTTGAAGTTAATATACGCTTCGTTGGTGGACTACTCTCAGCCTACTATCTGTCTGGAGAAGAGGTAATGAAAAGTGGTGTGTAGATGTGAATCATAAAATGTCTCAAAATTACATTTGTAGGGTAAATATGCTTTTTGTGGTATATATTTAGGGGATATCCACTGAATTTTCATGAGCCTCCAGCATAATCTGAATGTCACATAATATGTACTGGTTAACTGGGCACACTGGGAAGGCAGAACGTGTTGTCAGGAAGTGGTAAGAATGCCTTTCAAAAAGCCTGGCTTGATTATGTTAGGGATAGTGTGATTATAACTGCAAATTATATATGTCTATGGATTGAATAAAGAGGTTTAGTGTAGTGGCAGGCTTGTGGGTGAATTTTTTTTCTTTAAAAATTACTTTAACATTAGTATAAAGTTAGCTTAATAAAAACTTTTAAAAGGAAGAAAGCTTGGCAAGTAAGATACAAAAATTACAGTATTTAAAAAAATTGAGGGGGCAAGTGAGATACTCAGCTCCCCAGTGAGGGGTCCTATAGGCCAGTATTCCTGTGTGAAGTGCATTGGTGCTTTTCCTAGGGTGAGTTAATTCATTATCTGCAGCTCAGAGTTTAATTTAGCTGCATTTTATTAATAGATTAAAGAAAGATTTTTCTATCATTCTCATGAAGAGCACAGATTTTCTTGAAACGTTTTGGACAACTTTATGAAGAACCTAACTGTCCACTAAGAGTTGCTGAGTGGACCCACCTGTAATGTTGACAGTGTTAAAAGCTGAGGTCAAGGAAAGGTGGTCATGTATTTCAATTGTACGTTGGTAAGATTTGTGTTAGCCTCAGCGGTTCTGCTGGAGGAAGAGTGGATCTTACCTAGGGTGGTACTTCATGTATTTCTATGCTCCTTCAGATTAAGCAGAGCAATAAATGATTAATAAGAAAAGCTGCTTTAATATTGTACCTATCTCTCAGGTACTTTGTTAGTCATAATAAAACAGCCCACACAGTCTTAATATTTTCTCTCTCTTTAGATTTTATTCTACCATAGATCTTTTCAAAGTCATATAGATGGCTTCTTTATTCCCCTATATCTCTTCTGTTTATATCTCTTTAAAATACGTGTGTGTGTGTGTGTGTGTGTGTGTGTGTGTGTATTGATTTTGGTGGGGCAAGAGAGGAAGGGAGAGAGAGATACAAACATCGATGTGAGAGAGAGACATTGCTCTGCTGCCTCCTGCACACTCCCTACTGGGGATTGAACCCGACACCTGGGCATGTGCCCTGACCGGGAATCGAACCAGGGCTTCTCAGTCCATGGCACAATGCCCAATCCACTGAGCCACACTGGCCAGGCTGACCTGTTTATATCTTAAAATCTGTTCTTCATTATGGACTTTGTCACCTTCTCAGCCAGAGTACAGAGACCCTCTGGTACATTATGCCTCTTTTGTTTTTCCAGTTCCAAATAATTTCATTTGTTCATTTTGGTTTAGGGTGTTCTGAGCATTAAGCAAGAGAATCCATGCTTTGAAAAAAACATACTTAAAATTACCTGATGTTATTTTAGCTAACAAATTTCTGCTTTTAGAATAGTTCTCTTTGAGTATCCAGTGCCTGGGTGTTCTCATTGTTTTTCACATGGCATACTTAGAGTGACCTTGGTTTTAGCTTTCTTCATCATTTATGTGGAAGTGAGACAATTTGGAGGGAAGAAGGGCTGCATCCTTCTATATCTGAGCTCAAATAGGATAATCAAGCATACAAAGAGAAACAAATACATGTATTTCTTCTAAATATACATCATGTTTAATTAGGATACTTTTTCACTCATAACAATATTTTAAGTTTATACACATATATTTGTTTCTGTATGTATGATTATTATAGACACATAAGTATTTACATACTTATATAAATATAATACACACAGATACTATAGTTTGCCTATAGATAAAATCATTTGCCTGTGACCTTGAAGGGTATTTTTTAAAATCCTATACTTAGCTAACCTTAGTAAACAAAGGGCAGCAAAGATTACGTCCATTGAAAATTATTTGTTTAGTATATTTGTTTGGTCCTTATTCCTGTACAAATGTCTTTATAAGATATAGATTTTTCTATATTTTAATATTATTATAAAAAGTTATGTAAGGTATTTTCTTATATACTTTTTCATTTCTATAGCATACATTTTAATTTTAGTTCATAAGAGTTTATCTTTTTATTTTACTCCTAACCTGAGGATATGTTTTTATTGATTTTTAGACAGAGAACAAGGGAGAGAGAGAAAAACATTGATGTGAGAGAGAAACATGGATCGATTGCCTCTCCTACGCACCAGGCTAGGGATTAATTCTGCAACCTTTGGTTTTTCGGGACTACACTCCAATCAACTAAGCCACACTGGTCAGGGCAGAATTCAGCTTCTTAGCATAGATTTTGCCTAACTATTCCCTAAACATTGAACAGTTGGGTTGTTTTCAATATTCTTGTATTTGAATAATGTAGCTAGAATCGGTCAATAAATATTTATTTCCTAAAGTGAGATTGTCAGGTAAAAAGTGACTAGTTAGAGACTGTTTCAGCATCACGTCCTGCTTCTTCCTCCCAGGTACCTCATCACTGACAGTTGCTTCTCACTGAGTAAGGCACTCAGGGGAACTGGCTATCAGGAATGTGATAAGGAAAAATTATTTTTCCCCAAGCCTATGCTTGAGGTATATGTTTCCATATCCACAGGAAATATTGAGCATTTATTTAGCAAAAAGAACACCAACATGCCCAAATTATGAATAAGTTGGTTTCAGATTGCTGATCCAGTTCCATACTAGACACTTTTATGTAGATCAAGGCATTTACCAGGATAATCTAAGAAAATCTATATTCCTAAATTATCTCATAGACGAGCTACTAAATTACCATAATTTAACAATCCAGCTTCATCACTGAGGCTCAGGAGTATTTTGAGAACATCTTATAAGTCATCATCAGAAGTATATAGTCCCCCATTGATATAAACTCAAAATTCCTAAATTTATATTACAAAAATGGAAGAGGAAGTACCACTGATTTGTGTTATGTGCTTCAGAAAAATTACAATTAGAAACACTGAACAATAATCAGGAATGCCAATTAAACTCTAAACCTATCAAAAGAACAAGAGGAAACGTTGAATATCTATAGTAAACTTTAATTTCAAGGTCAAATGCAGAAACTTTAAACACTCTAGCTCAGCTAAAATACCTTGTAATTTCACTGGGGAAAAACGTCAAGCCACCAGATTTTTAAAGTCTATATAAGAAATGCAAACAGTCACAAGCTCTACAAACAGGATAGAGATCAGATGAATACTGAATAGGAATGATCAGTATTAAAGATAAATAAAATAAATAACACTGCTCTATTATGAACTCAAGGGAATTTTAAGTCCTCATTGGAGAGAGTAAATAGCAGTGTCTGGAATATCATTATGGCAGGATAAATCTGTCTGAATACTAAAAATAACTCAGAAAAATCTACATCCTGCATTCTTTCTTAGAAATTCACAATGCACAGAAAAACAAACAAATTAAATTTTATTAATCTCAGTGTTTTCCATATTTAACTGGATTATAATGCCCTGTCCTTTTTCTATGTGACATTTTTTTAACACTAAGTTACAGATATTGTTTCCCCGAACAAATTCTGGAAAACACCATTGTAGAATAAGAGTCACCAAAGCAAAAATGATACTGAAAATTGGCAAATGCAAAACAAGGCATTGCAAGAGAAGATGATACACGTAATAATAGCATGTAATAATATCACATATTATTACTTGTTTTACAACAGAAACCAGTTGCTATATTGAGCAGAAAGTGAATTTTATAGGGCATAGTGATGCCACAGAATAAGAGAGAAGGCTGAAGGACAGGTTGGAACTAATAGTCTCAAATTGCCACAGAGGATCTCTCTGCCTTGATGATCACCCTGGGACATCCTATAATTAATAAACATGCACTATTTTTTTATACCCTTGTGAAAAAACAAAGTCCCAGGAGAAAGAGGTCAATTGGCAGTCGCACTTACATGTGGTCCCTTGGGACCTAGGGGGAATAAAAGAGTATGGTAGAAGCAGTCTGCCGGAGGATTTGAATTCAGTATCCTGTGAAGACCAAGGGAAAAGAAGTAGGAATAATTCTTGAACAGCAAATTGATGCCCTGTTGGAAGGGTGGAGAGAATAAATGGGAACCAAAAAACAATACAAAGGAAGAAAACATGGAAGTCTACTATGAAAAATAATGTTGTCAGAGAAAATAGACAAGCTTGTGGACATTGATAATTTAATGAAATGCTTCAATGATAATTGATAATGATAATTTAAAGAAAACTTTCCTGAAGTTTTTAAAAAACTACTTTATAAATTAAAAGGGAACATTTAGAACTAATAAGGTATTTAATCCTCAAAGGACACATTTTGAATAGTATGTTCTAAGTATGTGAACTAGAGAACTAAAAGGCTAGCTCCTAGAAACTAAAAAGACTGAAAAACTAGAGAAAAGGTAATGAGACTGGGGGAAAACGCATAATGGATTTCTACATTGGGTCAGTTTACTCTGCCAGGGTATTCCTCATTTGAAAGGCAGCAAGAGGATTTTTTCCCCAAGTTAACCAAAAGAAATGCACTGCTCCAGACACTAGCACCAAAGATTGCTGAAGAACCCACTGAAAAAGAGAAGTAACTGATGATACCATTGAGTTTAAGAATATCAAGGGGAAAATATGTAAGGGGAGGGTCGGAAAAACAAATATAATTGTGGATATGGGTTTAGTGCTGGAAAGATCTAATAGGATTCAGATATTTGGGTGTTTAGGAGCCTAGACATTGAGGTTGCAGAGTTTTTGTAGTGATGATCATAAAAGTGTGTGTAAATCCCTTAGAAAATTGGGAGGCATTGATGAGAATACATTTTAAACTCAGTGTTTGCCATAGTCCACTTAAGAGATAAAGTAACCTCCCAGACAGTTTGTCTCCTGCCTTATCTGCAAAGAAATTAAATTGACTTACAGAAAGTACGTAACAT